GTCATTGTTTACAAACAAGCGTCTACTCATGGGCCTTTGTGTTCTTAGCGTGTGTTGCTATCATCGCTTGAGTCTCAATTCCCGCGCTTGCGCAGGTGACGACCCTCCCGCCTTAAATCATTGTATTATTTGCCGTTTTTCTTTTCTGACATATGGTTACATAACATAGTGAAACTTGCACTCGCTAACAAAAAATGCACAGAAATATATTTTATTCAGTACCATTGGCCATAGGCCATAATGTACACACTTAAATGTAACACAAATAAATAAATAGATCGTTTGACAAGAATAACCACTGCTACTACTTGTCTGGATAATACAAACTTATACTTCACATATGAATACCAAATTAAATTTATATTTCAGTTAAATTTTCTTCCAACAAACTATGACGTTTTTGTAAAGAGTAGAATACGTATATTGCAGGATTTTGTATTATGTGTGTATTTTCAGATTGCAGTAGCAAAACAAATTTCCATTTACGCGCTGGGAAATAGTAAAACTTGTGTATAAAACGAGTTCTAATTTCCTCAAATTTGGGACATTGTAATAGAAAGTGGAACACGTTTTCAATGTGATGACGACCAAAAGAACACAATCTTTGGTCAAGTGGTATTCTCAATGCCCTACCCTTTTCAATCATGAGATCATGAGCAGATATCCTAAAACAAGTGAGAGATTTTCTAAAAACACTTATGGTGATGGAATCTAGATATTTTACAGAACCCAAGTAATAACACTGCAATAAGCAGAATAATAAAATAAAATAAAAAAAAAAAAACATAAATAATAGCAGTTAAGTTAGATAGGAGCTGTTGCTGTCTTTGAAAAAAACTACTTTTACAGCTACTTCATATCAATTGCCACCTTAAAGGGGAACCGCTCAATCCCAGGGATTGCACCAAAGAATCATGGGACACTATTGTTTATGTTGTTTACAATGTTAATCTATCTTTTGTTATCCATTGTTATTTTAATCCAGAAAGTAAATTTGTTGTGAAATTAATCTTAACTGGAAGGTGCCCCTTTAATTTTAAGACAAGTGCCTTCATAAACACATTGTGACAGATTAAGTAGTACCTGAAAAAGTTTTTATCATTAGGGGCCTGAAAACACAAGCCAAATGGCTCTTTTCAGGGTCACGACTCAAAACATTGCCCTGTGTACTACGCGATAACAACAGTCTCTATATCTCCATTGTTTAATTATGCTCTGTGTCCGCAACTTTTTTGAAAACATTTTGTTAATGTTTGAGCGCGGCCATTGATATATTGATATATATATATATGGATCATAGTGTTTATTATTTTTGAAATTAGGAGCTTCCTACGATTGAATTTATAAAATTATTTATATGTTTTATTTGTTTTTCAGAGTAAAATTTTCCGCTGTATTCTATACACCGAAACTTCATCCCCGAACATACTTCAAACGTTCTTTTTCTTTTTTGGTTTGGGAGTTCTCGTACTGAGGCGAAATCTAGTGAGACACTCACGAAGTTCTAAATTTGATAATGTAAGGAAGTTTATCATAGATTGGTTTATTTTTCGCCTTTCTGGATATTAGTACTACTATTGCCATTTTTTTCTCCATTGCGTTTTAAGTCATTAGTCATTTTTGAATACTTGTACGTGGCATTGACGTTATTAAACAATGACTGAAACTGAGTAATGTCCGCAGAGACAAAATAGAAAACAAATATAGCCGCTATCGGGGATGTTTGATGACCTTGTCGATGACGTCATGAATTTAGTGTTGACAATATCAAAATGTCTACGCGAATTGATGGGGGATGTGAGTATGTATACTAGTATGCTGACCATTTAAATATCAAAGACGGGGAAGATATATGGATGTATCAACGCACCGCTTTGTTTAAAGCAGGGAGTCGTCACCTGCGCATGCGTCAGATGGCCACAGCGTGTCATTGTTTACAAACAAGCGTCTGCCCATGAGCCTTTGCGCTTTTAGCATGTGTTGTGATCGTCGCTTGGGACTCAATTCCCGCGCGTGCGCAGGTGACGACCCTCCCGCTTTAACCACCGGTGTCGCCGTTTTACCACAAAGCTAGTGGCTGAGCTGGCTGTATTGATGGGTGATGTTGAGAGTCAATGCGATGCGACTTGCACCACTGTGCCTGATTGGCTACCCAACCTTAACATCTAACAGTTGGAGCAATCAGACAGCAGCTTGTTTGTTAACAGTTTTTTTTCTTGATGTATCACATTCTGCCCTGTATATCACGAGACTGATATACGACTCAACTGGATGTTGACACCCAACAGAACAAATATATTACTAATTCGGTGTTAGGGAGATACTGGAATCGTAGGACGAGCCAAAACATCCCAGTGTACTTATAACAACAGATAATGGTATCAGTGACGTCACACGCACACACCTGTTAAACGGCATATTTTCCTGGGCGTTAGTTGTTTGAGCATTGACTAATTAATACTAATAAATGTGTCGAAATCATCACTGTAGGGATTACGGTGTGTCTGGGATGGTGGAAGATATAGAAAACAGAATACGTCCAAAATAAAAACCTGTATACACATTTGAAAGAGAAAAAACGAACAAATAAAATGCAATACT